CCACTCTGAGGTTTTTCTTTAAAGGGTATTCCTCGTCGCTGAATGGCTTCTATCTCGGCCATTGTCTGCCGGGAATAATACCATAATGGGTGAGGCAACATCTGTGCTCCATCCGTTGCCTAGCGACGGCCCCATCAAGTAAACAGCTGTTGCAATTGGTTGCCAAGCTTTTTTGGTGTGGAATGCGGCATTTGTAGTCTTGCTTCAGGGCGCTTGTTGTGTGATAATTAGTTCACATTGTTCACCGGCAAATCCTAGAAATACACAGTTTCTGAGAGGTTTCCTCACTTGGAACAGAATGTGTGCATTGAAGTATATTAGCTTTGCGTGAACAAACATATCGAGCAACAGCGAGAGGGAGTATAGTGCGTTGACTCCTTTTTGTTTTCTTCTTGTTTTTTTCATTCGTAATGCATTGTTGTGTCTTACTTCCCAAGGGGAATTTATGCTCTTCTCACTTACATCATTGCTTAGAGTCAAGACTGCTTAAGACCTTCGCAAGACCACATGAGACTAGCACAAGACCAACACAAGAACTCCAGTCTGAATTGAAGTCACAAGCTATTCAAATGAACTGCAACCAAAGCATTCCTTTGTCATTGTTCACCCTGGTGCTTGTGACTGGTCTTGTGCATGGTCTTGCGCATCGTCTTGTGTCTGGTCTTGTGATGGTCTCGATGACAACACTGTCTTGTCAAATTGGACATGGGATGGTTGGGAAATAAGCAGTTGCTTTTCGGGTGATATGTTCCAAACAGACTTAAAAAGAGAAGACGTGTTAGTGGTTTATTTGTATATGTCCAACCTTTTTACAGTGACGCAATCAAAACTGTAATCCATTTCTGTTAAGTCACACGTATGGTATGTCACTTAATTATTTCGACCGTAGGGGCAGCTTTGTCTAGTACGTTTCAGTGACATTATGATGATATATTCCTGAATTGATATTGGGGTTGGCAAATGGCTGGGGGGGGTTGCAAGCCCATGGTAATGGAGGTTTGTGTGCCCAGCTGTACGGGTAGCAGCCACTCTGTACACTGATATCGTGCTCAGTCCATGATGACAAGGCATAATTAATGACAGTGTTCCCCTTAAACTGATTAACCTCACCATGAGGCAAGGGGGTGGGATGCTCCGCCCATTTTAAAAAAAAACACTCTTTTGAGTGAAATTGAACTCATGCAAAGCTCTCTGAAAAAAAAAGAAGAAAGAAACAAAAACCTGAAGTACAGCGCCGAACAGGAGAGTGAGACTTTAGATTGTGGAATAAATGTATTTCAAGTGACATGCTTGTTACTCCTGTCGCATGCTGGTGGGATTCTCTCCAGCTGATAGCACCTTCTATTTTGGTCGGTGACAGTGTGTCGTCCCCCCCCCACCCGCATCCCTCGCTGCCATCAATAATTCACCGCATGTCTATTTTTAATGTGAAGCGTCGGCAGGGAAGGATGGCAAGCTGCATGTGTTTTTGCGTTGACCCCTCCAGCATAGCCTAATGCTTGCACTGATGACCGGAGTTTGCAGAAGAATCGCCCTTGGTTGGTGATGGAGTTTTTACCTCAAAATACACACTCACCCCTCTATTTTGCAAGGTTCTTACTTTCCTTCAGTCTTTCGTAGAAGTGTTTACTGTTTGTTATTTTGGTACCTGCGTGAGATTATATTGACGCTTAGCAACTATCGCTTTTATATTAACGGCCAGCAATACCTTCAGTTTTACCCGCCATGGGTATGGAGGAATGTCACTGGTACAAAGAAAGTGCAGACCCTATAGATCTGTTGTAAAGGCATCAGGTTTATAAACACATGTACAAGATGTGTGGGCCCTGAAGGACGTCGTTGCCGGGCAACAAAGCTCCCTCACTTGTTTGTTCCCCAAGCCAATAGAGTACCCAAGCGTGACGCCATTTGAACCAGGAAGAGAAGTGCAAATAAATGGAGTTCGCGCACGCGGGTTCACATGTTGGTTCTGGCGCTAATGCCTTTTACCCTCATAATTGTGCGCCTGACGTATTTACTTCAGTACTCTCCGGTAACCCACGGATATTTCTTCACTGCTCATGTTGACGGCCAATCAAATCACTGTCTAGACATTCATGGAATGAAAAACATAGTATAATTTGCCATCATGAGACAAACCAACAGGCCAAAAAAAAAAAAAAAGAAAAACAATCTTGGGTATCTCCAATTTGCAACGTTGTATACACAGTCGGCCATTGATTGGTCCAAAGTTGTCTTCTCTAGGGTCCACCAACCCACCATGGTAATCAAATTGGATGACAATTGCCACGGCGTCTGTCAATAACGGACACTTGGGACCTGCTGCGGACGCGTGGGACCCGCTACTGTCTGCGTTGGAAGCTGTCCAACGTACCCGGGGCTTCTCGAGACATCCCCATTACCACTAATTGAATGAAGGTAAACGATTAAGCCCCAGCTGATAGCATTTGGGAGACATGCCTCGTGTGTCCCCCCCCTCCTTGCCAATGAACAAGCTCCGAGGCTTCTCGGTAATCAAATTTTATCAAGCCATTGGGCAGGCTCGCAAGTAGCTGGTTAGAAACTCAGCTTGCAGGATAACGACAGATTCATTTCACAAGATTTTTCCTTCATGGTGATGCTGGAGTTTTAAAACATTTTGGACGCAAGCAGCCAAGTCTGCGGACGTTAGAGATACTTTTGTTAGTTTCTCATTTCCCTTCCTGTTGTTATATGCTGAGAGCTTCCATTTTGTTTGTAATTCTGTTCATGCATTGTCAGTGTGAGCCCAGCCACAAGATTGCAATATTTTTCACCAAGAATGGTCACAGAAAGTGCCGTATATGTTGATTGTAAGGAAAACATTGGCCCTATATGAATACATACATGTAGATCACCGTACTGATGGCTGTTTATCTATTTACTCACTGGTATTTATTTATTTTATTTTGGTTTTAACAAATGGAAATGTTGAAAGACTTTTTCCCTGCCCGTCGCCAAGTGGGTGGGGACCCAAAGTGGCCATACCTCCCCTCCCCCCCATGAACAGTTGGCCCCCTCCCCGCNGGGGGGGAACCAAAGTGCCCCCCCCCCCCCCCCCCCCCATGAACAGTTGGCCCCCTCCCCGCCTGTAAAATAAGCATCAAAATTATCCATTATCTTTGTGATGTGCCCCTCCCCCCCAGCTGGTACTTTGGTTCCCTTAAAATGCCAAAGCTGGTGAAGGGGCTGGGTCTTTCTGAGGCCACGTCATACGTTTGAGATTTCTGAAGGCTTAAATCCTTGGCTATTTTCTTCTCCACAAAGTAAGCTTTAGAGACTTGATTATGCTGGAATGTAGGAATGCGACACCCGTCCCGTCCAGCATGCTACATGTACATGTTCATATAAACACAGACAAACGAGGAAATTTTTCCGTCCATAAAAGAAACGGGGGGGAGTGATGTTTATCAGAAGGTGCATGATTTATGCAGCGCTCATCCAGAGACTCAGATCAATAAATACCGCAACCTTAGCTGAAAGACAGAGAGGAAAAGAGTCAGGAAAACTCTTCTGCGTTTGTGCAGGCTAGGTTGTATCTATTTTAGGTGTTTTTTTTTTTCTTAGTGTGTCTCTGTGCCGTCTGTCTCTGGCAGGGCAGATGTCCTGATCGTCCTGCATCATTTCCTGAAGTACTTAGCACTGGCCACTGATTGATTGGGGATGCTGATTTCCAGCTCGCAAGAGGAGACTCCATCGCAAAAGAAGAAAAACAAAGGGATCCAATCTAGCCTAACGTCTTTTGCTCCCTCTTCCGTACATCTTTTTATTTATTTTTTTTCCCATGCAGTCACCTTTAGTACCTGCGATTAAACGAGGGATAGAAGAGAGATAAATCCGGTCGTTGTTTTGTTTTGTTTTTTTTTCCTGCCATGATTTGTGTCAGGTAAAAACGATGTTGATCTCCATAGCGTGAGAACTTTGTGACAATATAAATGTTACTAGTATTCTTTCTATCTTCTGTTTGCCGGAGAAGATGCATTTTTCAGCACTGTATTGATTTTCTTTCTAGTTTGACTTTGACCCAACATTGATTTTTATCCTGAAAGCTGCAGATCATCTTTGCGATGAGAGATTGCATTCCCTTTTTTTTTTTTTTTTTTCAGGCCCTGGAAGGGGGACTCCAATCTGTATTCAGATGCCGCAGACATTTGTTGTAATTTGGCTAGAGACGGCACGGATTAACTTAATGATTGAGAAGGGAGAAATCACAAAGTGAGATTTGTGATTAGATAAAAGATACATGTATGACGCAAACATTCTTGGGTTGAGATAAGACGCTTTGAGGGGAGTCAATCTGTGGATTTGTTACACAGATGGAGGGTATCTACTCTCTGAATTCCCAAGAGTGAAAATTCACTCTATTCCAGTGAAAATTTAATCCCTCCGATTGAAATTGAGGACCAGACGAATTGGAGTGAAATTTCCTCACTCCAAAAGATTGGAATTTCGCTCGAGCTTCTACTGGAAGGGGCTATTTTCAGCCTTTTTCAGTCGAAATTCAGAGTGATTTCACTCTAAGACGTCTTGTCCCTAATTTCGCTCTTTCCGATTTAAAGAGTAGGTTTTTGGGGGCATAGTGGAATTTTTCTTTATAAAGAAGGGTTTTTGGCCATAAAAACCCCTCCCAAAATGGGGGGCTGTACCACTTCTATACAGCTGGAGTATTAGTGCTTTCAGTCGCTTGAAAAAATCGACAAGGTCTCTGCAGGACCAGTGGGAAATTTGGCCACACCCTATTGACCCTTACTGCTGTCACAGCGGTTTGGGGGAAAATGTAATAGCCATTTTGAAGATTTTTGTTTCTCCAGTGGAAATGGTTTGGTATCAAGGAAAGAACAGCTCGGCAACAGGATGTGATTTCTAGTTGAGCCCTGCCGTAAGGGTTGCTGAAGGGTATCACATGTCTTGGCGGATATTATCACGTCATTAATCACAGTTTGCGCTCACGCTGGTGTGATTCTTCCTTCTCAATTTTTGTTTTCCTCAATTATCCCACAGTNCTTCGCCCAACCCTCTATTCCAGTGTCGTCTGGGCCTGCGTGTCAATATCACAGTGAAGGACAACATGTGCCATTACCCACAATCCCCTGCAGGTATGCTGTGTTTGGACCACGGCCACTGCGTGACCTCGGTCACTCAGGTATGTGCACTGCTATCTCGAGAAGAGTTTGGCTGGATGGTGAATTGCTCCGCTTGGCACCAGATGTTTATTGCTATAAGATTCCAGAACGACGAAGGAAATTGATGGGAATATGAACCCTAGACATTGAAGAAATGGGCCCCCCAAAAAAGCTCATAAATTTAGTGAGATGCCGTCCGCTGAAGACGGGTAACAAAATACTGTCAAGGTATCGCCAGTTGGGTTATTTGATTATTTTGTTTCCTCTGAGTGATACCAAGAGTTTCAACTCTGAATTACATTACATCTTCAGGCAGAGCGCCAGCTAGACAGCACATATACGCATAGGATGTGTGTTGTATCACAGAAGGGCACAATCCACCTTTTGAATAAAGATCATCTACCGGCGTCCGGATCGCTGAGTTGGTATGAAATCCCACACGATTCAGGTTCAGATTTCTCTCCAATCAGTTTTGGATCTGTGTGAAAAAGGCTGATGACCGGTGCCTTGGAATGGTCACTCCATTTGGGGCCGTCGGAGAGATGCGTTTTTATCCACCAGAATGATAAAATCTCCTTCGTTGATGTAAAATTTGTAGTTGTGTGCCTCTCTGTCGAGAAATTTAATGGGGAGCAGCAGATAGAATCGAAGTATGCCCACTGGAGCCGGGCAGGATTTTGCAATTGGATGGAAGCTTGTGGTTGACCGAGATTTGTTTTTTTTTTTTTATCACTACAAAAGAGCGACCTGCTTAAATGCCAGAAATATTTGCGGATCCTATGAAGAAAATCCTCCCTTTGTAGAATGCACAGAGGGATGAGAGACAGAGAAATTTGCTAGACTTCCCATGAATCAAATGCCCCAGGGGCCTCAGGATGAGGTTGATTGTATAACGCATTGTGTCGGAACGTTGGAAGGTGTACTGACAGGAAATCCATTTTTCCTTTTTTTTTTTTTTTTTTTTTTTTTTTGGT